GTGGAAGTGGACTGTAAGGCTCTTTGCACAGTCATCTGGGCAAACTCAAGGCCAGCGGCTAGTTCACAGCCACAGGGTTTTAATGAACAGCAGTGTTCCTCACTCAGCTGAAAGTAAGACTGGCAGGGCACATGACAACAGTGGAGCCATTGATATTCCAAGTTCAGACCATCATTTTGCTCCCCTCTTTTACAGGTCTTTGGAATCTTAAGCTACGCTCACACTGTGGTCCTGCTTCTGCACTGTGTCTATGTTGATATCGACCATATACACTTTCCTGGTATTTGGAAGTTCTTTCCTTCCACATTTCATGGAAAATGTTTAGTAATAATGCATAGTGCTGGCAAGATGGGATGATGCTCGACGTCAAGCCTGACCACATGAGTTTGAGCCTCAGAAGCCAGAGGCGGAGAGAATCAGCTGTACAGAGAGTTGTCCGCTCACCTCGGTACACCACTGTAGGTGGTGACAGGAGGGCTGGAAATGGTTGCATCTTTTAAAACCTCAAAGTGACACACCTCTTCTAACAAGGCCACACCTCCTAATCCTTGCCAATTAGTTCTCCCAACTGGAGACCAAGTATTAAAACATATGAGCCTATGGGGGCCATTCATTCAAGCCACCACATGATTTCATTGGAGATATCTCCATCTGGAGCCTCACGCATGGCCATCTCACCTCATATGAGGGAGAAGCCAGGCATGAACAGAGTTACAGGTTCTGTCTCGTGTCCACACGCAATAAGAATGAACCATTCTCACACCCTGGGTGTGTACAGTGTCCAGGAATGTGACCTCTGTCCAAGTCAGGGCTTTGCTGGGCTTGGCTGTACCAGGGTAAACTGACCTTGCTATCCACCGGTTGCATGGCCACACAATACCCAGAGGCCTGGCTCAGGCTCTCCTCAGCAAAGACAAGAAGTGGAATAGAGGCCAGGGCAACAGTAATAAGATTTGAAACCTGTCTGTCTTGAAACAAAGGCTGATTCTGTCTAAACATATTTAAAAGATGGATGGCTACCTCTCAGAGTATACACACAGGGAATGTGCATTGTTCATGCTTCCAGTCAACAACCTACCTCACCTGGCGATCACTTCTGGAATAATAACCACAGGAACCAACAATTAGAGCATACAGAAAAGATTCCTTTCAAAGACTTGCCTGTTAGTCACAACGACTGAGGTTTTCACATCTATAGAGTCAACGAAGGCTTTCTATGTAATATTGATGTTCTAGGACTTGGTCTGGTTCCACCTCCACCAGGCAGGGCTTGTGTCCTCATTAGATCACTTAGAAGTAACAGCCATGGTGGTGGGTCAGGAGCCTTGGTCTAGAACCACACAAGCACAAGCTTGCCACCCTCACAAATAATTGTCAGTTTATTTTGTTTCAAGTGACACATCCTTGCTAATGAGATGAGAACATCTGAAAGCAGAAAAGGGAAATGAGGGAGCTAATGGAAATATTTTATTTATCCGGGGAAATGGAGATTAAAGTGGAGAATGTGGTGGCTGACAGGTGTGGTTGCAACCAGCTGAATACACTTCAGACATCGCCCAGTGCTATTTTCAATAACCCACATGCAAGACAGCGGGCTCCTTGGATGCCTAGGGGTTCACTGTAGAGCTGGGACTGTGATTTGAGAGCATAGTTACAATACTGTTTCTAAGGAGACGGGGCAAGGCTTGTTGCTATCTGCTGCAAAGCTGCATCCTTGGTTCATCTACTTAAGCAGTTAGCAAATATAGGACATGAGAATCAGAAACTGAGCCATCAGTATTCAACAGCAAAAGGTGGATTTCTCAAAAACACTAATGTGACACAAGGTTAACATGTGGGACGAGTAGTTAGGCAACAGGGATCAACGTCAGAGAACACAAGAAATCTACAAAAGAGACATGAAGAGATATTTCAATTTTGAAACAAAATACATTTTACCAGTATTGTTCTGTCTTCAAGAAAACTGTGATTTGGCCCACAGTGACAGTTTAAATGGCACGTTGCATTCTGTCTTACAAGAACCTCACGATTGGCTTTGGACTAGAACATGTTCACCTGGCTCCTCGAATATTCCAGTACATGCCTATTCTGGCTGATGAGTAGACATCTAGATGGAAGTCATGTGTCATGCTAATGCTATACTGAGTGTGAGCAGCTCAAGGCTGACAGGCAGTGGGGGTGTAGGGGGGGGAGGGGGGGCTAATACCACGTGACTGACACTCCAAAACAGGAGGGAAACGATCAGGTTTTCTAACAAACACTGTGAGGATCTCAGAGGAAGGAGCTGAAGACTAGCATCAGGTCAGGAGACCAACCCCCACAATAGATACAATGTCACCACATGAAATATGAATGTCAGGGTTGGTCTCATAATTCTTGGGATATGTTAGATGTTCTGGCTCCAGATAATTTGTAAGGCTTTCAACACACTCTACCCTAACTGTTGAAAGTCTTCTGGATGTCACTGTGTCAGACACCCTACCATTTTGAATATCTTTAAATGTACATTTTATGGAATTTATGGTGAAAAATATACTTAAAAGTTGATAGAAAAAAACCCAAATATTGTGGTATAAGTTATAAGCTGAGATACCAACTTCCTGGCTGAATCAGATCCGTGAGTTGTTTAAAGACATCCTGAGAAACTGGAATGGTGTTTTTAGTTCATGTTGACTCATGATAGACAAACAGGACCTCTAGAAGGCAGCAGCAGTCTAGTCTCTGGCAGCTCCTCTGCAGGCAGGGCTGGGTGTCAGGGCAGAGGTGGCACTGGGTTAGAGAAATGGAGGTGCCAACAGAGAACTGGGAGAGGGCTGGGTATGGCAGTACACCCCTATAATCCTAGCTACAAGAGAGTCTGAGGAGACAGGTTGTGAGCTTGATGCTAGCTTGGGTGAAAAAGCAAGACTTACCCCTCAAAAAACAAATGAACAACAACAACAAATTAGTTTGGGACTCAGAGGGTCCTGGCCTGCTCTAAGCATCCATGTTCCTGGCCCACTTGCTCTAGGGCAGGTGTGATTTTCACCCACACTTCCCATCTACAAGGTAGGAGACAGGAAGCAGAGTGGAAAATGAGTAGTAGAAACACTTTGAGCCAGGCTTTGGTGGCACATGCCTTTAATCCCAGCACTGGGGAGGCAGAGGCAGGTGGATCTCTGTGAGTTCGAGACCAGCCTGGTCTACAGAGTGAGTTCCAGGACAGCCTCCAAAGCCACAGAAAAACCCTGTCTCAAAAAACCAAAAAAAAAAAAAAAAAAACCAAAAACTTTGACTAACAATCAACTAAAAATGTAACTTGTAAGAGCTATTCAAAGCTACAGCAATACCATTGACTTTGTCTAATTGCCATTGTAGTTTCAGTGGAACGAATCCAACAAGGGTTTCAAAACTCAATTCAACTTTGTTTTCACCAGGCTACAACTGTTTCCAGCATCCTGCCTGTAGGAGGTGGCAATTGTTGCAGGTTACAGGAAGAGGGTAACCATTTAAGGGCCCAGGAACATTAATCACACAGAAAAACCTTTAACATAGTTCCTTGCATTAGGCCACACTCAGGAATATCAGCAATGGAGACAACTGAATACAACGACAGCAAACAACTACGTACAATAGCAACTACATACAGCAGTATGTGAGTGGATACTGATTATGTTACAACAGCAAGTGAGAACCAAATGTGTGTAAAAACATGTGAGAGATGACTGTTCTCAACATCACAAAAACAAATGACAGCAAACTTTATACAGAGCCGTGTGAGAGTTAAATGTACGCAGGGATTAGTGAGAGATAACTCTATACAATGATATGTGAATGAGAACTAAATGTAGATAATGCTATGTGATAGCCAACTCCACAACAGCAGGTGAATGAGAGTCAGCTCAATGCAATGGCATCTGGGTGAGTGTCACCTGGGTATAAAAGCACAGGAGAGCCCACGTTAAGCAGCAGCACCTGGATCAACTACATAGAATGAAATAACTGTACATGAAGGCATGTCAGTGAATGAACTGTATACAGGGGTGCATAAATTAGAGCCACCTGCATGTAACAGCTCATGAGTGAACCCAACACACTTCCTCATAAAACACATTAAGTTCACAATGATATATATTCACTAAAATAATCCATCTCTATAAGCACACAGTTAAATTTCCTAAGTAAATTATTTATCTGATAATTAATATTTCAAAGATTTTTCAACAGGGCTTGAAACAATGACTATATGATTTCTGAGTTATTCCAATTCTGGTTTTCTGATTTTTTAATTAGGAAACCAGAAAGATCAATGTGTTAGAAAAAAAACACAATTTCTTGATAGTCAAATTAACTAAGATTTAGAGTACAGGCTTTCTTTATACTTGATAGGAATCATCTCAGGGTGGGTGGTAGGTGGGGGAATCTTTATTCAAAGATTATAAGTTCCTGTTTTAAAAGTTTTCAAATTGAATATTCAAAAGGAAAACCAACCATTTTCAATGTTAAGATAAAAATATTTGGAAATACTAGTACTTCTACATCAATAATGAACTGTGTAAGTATTGGACTACTCTCTTTCAATAAGACATTCAACAATAAATGCAATTTTAATAGGCTATATTTTCCTCAAAGAGATATAGAACATGTTAGTTCCTTGATTTTATAATTTTTAGAAAATCTGAAAAGCTTGGAAAATCACGGCAGAAGTTCTATTAAACCAAGTATTAGCATTGTGATGCATTTGATTCCAGATTGCTCAGGCATTACCCAATATTTTCATAAACTTTCCAAGCTTTAATTTCTCCTGACCCAAGTTCTCTTCTGCTATTACAAGTTTGTAATCATTTTTAATGGCTGCAAAATATCTATCGGCCTTCTATATGGTTGATTATGCAATAATATGCTTATCCATATCCATCAAATTATAAGTTTAGAAGCTAATTTATGAGATTGAAGAATGATGCAATACTAGAAAATAAAGATAGAAACAATACTCAATTTTCCCTGCCCAGACTTTTTACCTTCTGTGTCACCACCACTGGAAGCATTTTCAGAATTCACGCAGCTGGTAGGTTCTGGCAAACTAGGAACATACCCTGGAGGAGGCAAACTCACAGTGTAGAGCCGACGTTCAGGCTGGATCTTAATGTCACCATCTATAGAGAAGAGGGGCATGGCATGCACTAGTAAATATTACATAATAGAAGCAGTTATTTGCCCTTATTACATTAGCGTTGTTTCTCCAATAAAATTCAGCGAAGACAAGAAAATCAAGTAACTCAATAACACCAAATCACTGTCATAAACACTGAATTTAAAAAGCCAAGTAGTTTTTCAGTAAAGCAAGTCAGCATATGACCAGTGAACCATCTACAATTACTTAAATTCACATTAAGTTAGTAAAAATGTAAACTTGTGAGTTCTTGTAAGATGATATGAACTATAACTTAGGAATGTGAGACAGAAAATATAAACAGTGCAAACAACATACTCTTTATTAGCATAACATGAATTTTCCAACGTTTCTGTACCTTGCTTCCCCTGAATTGTGTCTCCATGTTTTCTCTGTAACATGTACAGAGAATGTGGATACATTTTCCTCACATTTGGAACACACACTTACAAATATAGAGACACACAAATGCATGCACAGACACAACCATGTATAGACACAGACATGGACTCCCTCTCAGATCAACATGTGCACACAGAACTCGTACTTCTAAGTCACAAGTACATTCAGATATGCAGACATGCAGAATTCAGGACAATGATTACAAGATCAATTATACATATAGTATCCTTTTGATATCACACAATACACAATTCACATGGAGTATATTTATTACATGAGCATTTAAAATTGAGTATAATATCATAAAATGATACAGCACATTATATGGGACTTTAACCAACACACTCTTTTAATAGTACAAAATAGTCCATGCTACGGACAAATTATAATTTATCTTTTAATCCGTGTCCTGAATTCTGCGTGTGGGGGGTGGCTGGCTTTGAATGGTCACTGTTACGAACAGTGGGTATGGCCATCTGCATTAGTCACTGTATTCACTTCTGTAACCAAGTACCTGACAAGTACCTTAAGCAAAGAAGTGTTTATTTTGGCTCACAGCTAAAAGGGCTACTCCATAATGGCTGTAAGGCTACCTGCACACATCTCCAAGGAGCAAGAAGTAGAAACAGGACAGAGAAAGAATACAGACTTCAAGACCTGTCACCCAGAGATCTACTGCTTCCAGCTAGCTCAACCTCTCAAAGCTTCTACAGGGTCCCCTCAGTGCCATCAGGTGATGACCAGGAAAACAAACTAACCTGTATTAGACAACCGAATGATAATTCCACCCTGCTCCTTATTCCTTTGTGTGCTTGGCCATTTCGTATCTTCTGATGAATTTTTGGAAATGGAAATGCTGATTTGAAAAGTCCGAACCTTTTGCTGTGTTTTTATATTAACAAACCAGATAAGGGATCTTCCCTCCCACACACTCTAATATTTCCTATCAATTCTCTTACATTTTGTATTTCCATTGATAAAATGTTAAAGTGACTCTCATATACATGGCAAACACAAATGGATTTCCCCGCTAGTCTTTCACAGAATAACTAACATTTTATTTTAAACCAACAACTAGCAATTTATTTTAAACTTAACAATGATCGAGACAGAATAAAATAACATGCCAAAGACGTGCTTTTTAAGACATTTAAATGCAAAAACCATGAAACCTTTTCAAATTCCTCTGCCATCAATATATTTCACTCTCTGGAGGCTAAGTATTCAGAACGTTGCCAGAATTCTGGTTGTTCTGTTAATTTGATTCACATGGTTGATTAATTACTACGCCATTCCCTGCTAGAATTAAGGGCAGATGGAGATATGCTTCTATGTATATTAATCCTATCGTGCAACATCAACACTTGATCATTTTTCACAGGGTACTTTTGGAAGCCTTTCACCACTAAATCTTTCTTAATAAGAAAGTTAAACAAAACTTAGAAATGTCACTGTTCACTTAAATTATTGGAATGGATAAAGGAAGTATATGGAAGTTGAAGGATGAGATGAGTCACACAATAAAAAATAATGACATGTCTAAGAACAGATTTGGAAGTGGAACATGTGGTTGGAGAGCACATGCTGACTCTACAGACAGGCTCCTGTCTTATAGACCTCTCTGTTGCTGGGATTAAAGGTGTGCACTACCACTGCCTGGCCTCTATGGCTGAGGCTAGCTTTGAATTCTGATCTTCAGGACAACTTTCTTAGATCATGAACAATTTATCACCACAACAAACGTTGCCATATGCTGGGGTGAATATGCAAACAGAGAGATGCACTAAACCTGTCTTAGTCTCTGTAGTGGATCTGATGGTAAACTCATTGTCTCTTACCTTTCCACCTGATAACACATCTTTGCTTTCATTCTAGTGGACCACCTAGGAGCTTGCAAGACTTTTGAAGAAAGCACAACCTCCCAGGAAACAAATGTGCCACAAATCATTTAAACACCTTTCCACCCTCATTCCCACCCCAGGGCTGGTGAGAAAACTTAGCAGGTAAAAGTGCTTTTGCCAAACCTGACAACCTGCGTTCAATCCCAGAACACACAGTGGGCAGAGCTGACTTCTGTATGTTGTCCTCTACAAGTACACTACGCTATGCACACACACACACACACACACACACACACACACACACACTCACTCTGTCCACACAAAATATATGGATAAATGTACAAAGGTTTGAACTAGCCCCCAGTGTGAAAATTTAGACTTCTAATCTGTCTTTGCTCTGAATAATGCTATAGTTAATAACCTGGAGCATGCCAATCTTACTACACAGGAGACAGTTCACAGGAAGACTGGCTAGATTAGAATTTCTGTGCCCAGGTGGATGTATTTGGAGCTGACCACAACCTCTCTCTGCCTTTAGTCATGACAGTCAGGCTTGCACGCCTGACAAAGGACATGGATCGATGATTCCAGGACAATAGAATAGACGAAAAAGGGCTCACAATTCACTTTTAATTTGTGTTTCTCTCATTAGTAGAAGCAGATGCCCTGTCTTTCTTTGGTGTTGAGAGGGGTTGCATGTTTGTTTTGTGAAATGCCAATGACCCTGTTTTGTCTACTTGCCCCTGATGTATTTATCCTTTTTTTTTTAAACTAACGCATGAGCCTTTTAGATATTAAATAAATGAACACTTTGTCCATGCTATCAGTTACCATTGTTTTCTTAGTTCACTATTTTTCCCCCCTACTTCACATGTAGCAATTCTGGCAATGTATACTTTTGTGTCTTATAAAGTACAACCAACAATCTTTATGATCCTGGGCCATATGTATAATTTTATAGAGAAAGAATTCTCCTATGTTGTCTATATTTTCATGTTCAATTTTAAATTCTGTATGCTTCTGGAATTTAGTCAGCTCATTTTTTCCTTAGCTATGCAGGTGGTCTCAATAAAATAAAAAAAAATCACAACCCACTAATTCATCAGGCCCACTGTGCTCTGTGGATTAGAGAGAACACGTTGCTCTGATAAAAATGCCCTACATCTGAGTGTTCATTGCCTCAGTTGCCATCCTAGGTGGCCGGGGAGTGCTAGACACACAGCTAGCACAACAGGAAAGGGAATCTTTAATTTAAACAAAATACAGTTTCAACTTAAACATTTGAATATAGACAAAGGCTGGTGTCAGAAATTAACCACCCTGAACAAAGGAAAGGCTAGAACAGCGTGTTGCCTCACCGGGTGAGGGTCTGTCTCACTGTCCTTGACCTCCGTGGTCTGTCCTGCTTATACTCTCATCCTGTGTGTCTACACTGCCCTTCTTCCTTTTTACCCACTCCATGTTTTTCCTAACCGTAAAGACTGCACAGCCATTCTTCAGTTGAGAACGGTCTTCACAGTGTCCCCTCACTATAGAGTCTGCTCCTGGACCTCAGTATCTACTACATTTCAAATGCACCTCTGTGGCTGTCTCCTGTGTTATGATCTCTTCAATTTCCTCTTTGCAGGAACTATAGAAATATTTGTAGCCAACCATACTCTGGGCACAGTTTTATTGCAAATTTTCATATTTTCTATTACTTATTCACAGGTTTGATCATGTCTCTCAGTAAAGTGTGAGCTTAAGCTTGGCAGAATGTGTCTGTTTTGCTATGCTACAATTTACAATCATCATAAATATGTTGATGAGAGAGATTGTTGCCTGATTGGTAATTCCTAGTGTTGCTTCTGTAACACAGTGATGGATTTCAGGGTCTCTCATTCCTGGAGTTCTACAGCTCTACCATAACTGCTCAGAATTTATGAATCTAGCAACTACAGCACCCTTTTGGGCAGGCAAAAGTATTTGTTGGGCCCAGTATGATTTTAAGCACTAACATCATAGCTGGGTTAGGATAGGACTCATGGTAACTAGTCATGTAGTCTGAGTCCCAGTTTTCCCATTTGTGGAGTAAGTGTCTCTCCTTGAAAAGACTGTTGGAGAACTGCATCACGTGCACACCAGTGGCTCAGCAGCAAAGAGAACACTGTAGACAGAGGCCAGGACCAAGGACAGCACCACACTGATGGGGCAGCACCTAGGACAGCACCCTGGATCGAGACAGTTCCTTAGGCTAGCGTCAGCACCAAGGACAGCATCCCTATGCTGTCAGTAGTACTGAGGACCAAATTAACCCTCTACAAACAACTCGAAGAAAGCCTTCAGGAGGACATTAGTAATGACAGCAGAGTATGGGAAGACTCAGGGGAGCTGTCACTTTCTGTTGCTGCTGCTGCAAGCTCACACTGGGTGTGCCTTTGATCTGTAGGTGCTTGTACTTCCCCAGACATATTCCCCAGACATATTCACGTGCTGGTTACTGAATACAATAATGAAGCAATACCTCCTTTTCCAGGGTCCAGGGAAGACCATAAGGATCAGGATAGTCAAGACTTCCATAACACAGACCCAAACTCCTTAATAATAAGTGTGTACACTGACCTTCAGCACAAGATGATCTGATCCAATGTAGCAACAGAAGAAGCCTGTGGGAGACTCTTTGTGAGGTGTTAGCACCGATGTGACTATGACTCAGTGCAGTTCCAGGGAGGATTCCTAAACCTCATGTGATAAGTGTTCATGCATGTGTCTATAGGAGAATGAAACTCTTACATGAATCCTGCAGTTACTTTTCCAATGGAGTATCCTTAATGGACCCTCGAAGGAATTCAGTGATTTGAAGAGCTTATAACATTCTTCTAAATGAACATACTACATTTAATTTCTCCACTTCCAATTCACGTTAATGGCAAGAAGGCTTATCAGGGATTATTTAAAACAATTTTAAAAGCAGTTTTAGGTTTTTCCTCATACATATATTTTTAGGTTCTTAAAACAGTTTCAGTTAGCACACATACTCTTTCATATATATAGGTCATTGTACCCTGTCCCTAATTCACTCCTACTGTCTTCCCACACCTTTTCCCCTTGATAGAGCCCTTCCTTCCCCTGAGAGATTCCCTTTGCTTTCATATCACATACTATATACACATGTGCAATTAAATGCACCTTTGCATATGATAAAACGTGCAATATCATGCCTCTCTCCCCCAACATTCCCCTTTTGTATTTCTCTAGTGGCTGAGGACCAGGCAATTGTACCTTAAGAAACAATAATAACAATGAAAATTCAAAATGTTACAGCAAGTGTGGCCATTAGTCAAGGAAAAGAGTAAACATTTTTCCACAGTTCCATCAATAAAACAGCCACTGTTAAAACTCAATAGAATATTTAAAATCTGAATTTGTTTACATGGCTGGAATGCATTTCTCTATCAAGTAATACCACTCACATACTTAATAGCCTGACTTTAATGCATGAAAATATTTCCTCCAATGAATATACCACAGAGAACCAATTTCAAATGTTGAGTGCTCAGATTTATAACTTGAAGCTCAAATGAGAATAGCCTGATACAGTTTTGTTTTTTTTTTTCCCCTTCCACATCTTAGAGAATGAAGAAAAGTTGGCTCAGGCTCCCAACTGCAAGACTCATGACAGTCAAAAGCCCACCTACAAGATGCAAAATACCTCCAGGCAACACTTTCTCATCAACTGCCCTGTCCCTGGCTACAGAAGCCATTCCTCATTCGTACTTTGTCAGTCCAGATGCCAATCGTCACTTAGTCCACACTTGAAGAGTAGAGTGATTTTAATGGGAAGCTATGGATTAGGTGTCAGGTCATGTCCTGCTCAGTCTTTGCATTTATGGAAAGTTTCCCAGTCTGTTCCTCCTGCATCTTGTTAAATTGTCCCAACATCTAAATAAAATGTGTTCCTACTAAGATTCACACCCTCCACCACTCCAACAAGTATACCACTTAAGGGGGAAACAAGCTTCCAGTTCAGAGTTTCCCATGACAAGAGGCCAGAATGAGGTACACAGACCTGTGGTTTACGACAAAACACAAAATATGACTGATAGTCTGGGCATGAGCAATGCATCCAAAAGATGCATGATGACCAACCTAGACTACAGTACCAGCTACCCACCATAGTTATAGGAGAAAGGAAAATTTTCCATGATACAAACAACCTTAAGAAGTTACATCCCACAGACCAAACCTAAAGAAAGCACAGGATGCAGTATTTTGGGCTGAAGAGAGAAATGATTATAGCCAAGAAGATGTAGAAAGAAAAAAAAAAAAAACTATGATTACTAACACACAAAGTACTACTGAGAACACAAACAACAGCACCATGTTAGCTGTGCCCATACACATGAGTATGTATAACTTACAGCCATCCAGTGTCTGACAAAGATGCCCAAAACATGCACTGAAGAAGATAGCATTTTCAGCTAATGGTGTGGAAGAAATTAGACTGGGATCTATGATCCTGCACAAAAACTAACTCCAATAGAGCAAAACCTCATGTGAAGCCTGAAATATCAAAACCTGTAGAAGAGAACACAGTGCATTACAGGATGATAGGGCACAGGAAAGGGTTTCCCGAATAGGGCCCCATTTACCTGGGAATAAAGCCAAAAATTGATAAGTGGGGCTTCATAAGACTGAAAAGCTTCTGTACAGCTAAAGAAATAATTGAATAAAGAAGCTCACAAAACAGTATTTTTCCCAGATGTATATCTGACAGAAAATTAATATCCAGAATTCACAAAAAGCTCCACAATAAGGAGTCAAAGAGACAAATCCCCCCCCCCAAAAAAAGGCTTTGGAGCTAAAGAGAGAGTTCTCAATAGAAGAAATAAAAATAGCTTAGAAATAGCTCAAAAAATGTTCATCATCCCTAACAATCAGGGGAATGCAAATCAAAACAGTTCTGAGATTCATTTTACTCCAGTCAGAATGGCAAAGATCAACAAAACAATAGATAACAATGCTGGCAAGGATAGAGGAAAAAGGAGCCTAGACTTGTTGGTGGGACTGGAAACTGGAGTAGGCACTCTGGAAATCAGTATGGAGAACCCTCAAAGAAGCTAAAGATAAATCTACCATATTACCCAGATGTACCACTCCTTGGTATATGTCTAAAGGACTTGACATCCTTACTCCAAGGATATATGCGTAGCCATGTTCATTACTTCTCCATTCAAAATTGTATATGCACATGAAATAATATTTAGCTGTAAAGAAAAATGATACCATGAAATTTGCAGTTAAATAGCTAGAACTGGAAAAGATTATATTGAGTGAAGTAACCCAGACCCAGAAAGACAAATGCCATATGCCCTCTCTTATTTGTGGTTCCTGATTCCAAGTCTTCAGATGTGAGCATATAACCTAGAGTAACTCTAGGAACCCAGGAAAGTAAAGGGGAAGCAATACAATAGAGATGAGAACAGCAAGGAACAAGTGATTTTTAAGGGGGAAATAGGAAAAGGGGAAACTTGTGGGGTTTAATTTGATAGAGAGGAGGGAAATTAATACAGATGGAGAGAGAGTAGTAAAATAACTGTAAGGATGTCTAAAAAAGTATAAGGAATCATATTATTATCTATTTAACTAAAATGACATATATTACAGAGGAAGAGAAAGAGAGAGAGAGAGAGAGAGAGAGAGAGAGAGAGAGAGAGAGAGAGTTTAAATGAAATCATGAAATCTCATTTGGGCTGACAATGCTCCCCCAAGATCCAAGAACTATCTATCAAAACCCACAACAACTAGTACGAGAAGGTCCTCTTCTGAACTGTTGACTGGGGCTGCCCAAGGGACTCCCAAAACATTATAGGCCACCCTTAATTGGCTCCCTGAAGAAGTAGGTTAAATCTCAATTGCTGAAGACACCATACACTTTGGACATTGAACCCAAAAGACCTGAGCTGGAACTGACCAGAAAGTCTTCTCCCTGAAGACCAGCTTTCATGGTACCAGAAGGATTGATGCAAGCTTCCAAGGGAGGGAGGCAACCAATAGTCTGGCCCAGCTATGACACCTATGAACCACATCAATCACCATGGCTCTATAACCCTAAAGGTACAGTAATGGTAAACACATCCTGGTGGTAACCAACAGCTTTCTAATTGGTCTTAAGACTCACTCACTAAAAAGAGAAACCTACCCAACTATCTGGTACAAGAGAAGCCATGGATATTGGAGACTAATCTACAACTACCACTTTACTAAACCAGCATAATTCCTAATCATATTCTAAATATTTATCCTTATACTCATAAATAAGTGCAATTCACACACTTGATCAAGGAAACTTCTGTTTTCAATAGATGGAAACTATTTCAGAAAACTGTAACTGGTCAAAATGCAGAATAAGAGATCAGGAGATTGTGTGGTACCCAGTCTCAACTGATACATCTATAACAATTCTTGCACCTAAGGCTCAGGAATCATGCACAAGAGGAGTCAGAAAAAGAGTAATAACTATAGAAGAAACAGGATGCTTGCTAAGACTGTATCTCCTAGAAATGTCAAAGAAGATACACCCATGAAATCTCATCAACATGGTTGCCTCAAGAAGGCCTGCTAACATGCCAGGAGGAAAGCCTTGACCCTAGACAAAGAACTATAGGCAACTAAGGGATGATGACAGTGGAAGAAATAGTCTTCTTCAAGGGAGAGCACCCTCCCCTGCCTCCAGCTGGTTACCAAATACCAAATGGTCAGCCCTGAAATCAACACACACACACACACACACACACACACACACACACACACACACACACACGCACACACACAGAGGTAACAGTATATGGACTAAGTACACACAAATCCCTACCTCATGTGGAAAAACACTGAAAGAAAAGAGGCCATGAATTTGAGATAGAGCAAGAAATGGAGTACATGGGAGGGGGTAGAGGAAGGAAAGAGGGGGGAAGAAATGGTTTAACTATAATTTCAGAAAATAAAAATTATATAAAAATTGACAGAAGTGATCTTAAAAAATTCCTAAGTCCAATGTTAGCTTTAAGTATTAACATATTTGTGAGGAACAAAGGAGTTTCACATTCTGTGCCTGTACATCATGTGGTCCAGGCACAGGACTTTTGAGGAACTGTCCCCTAGGTTGACACTACTAAACTGGAATTGTTGGGGCTCTCACTGCAGGTTTCCCTGCTGCCCACTTCTCCAGGATAACTATTTGCTGAAGAACAATGCACAAGTAGCATCAACTGCTCTCCCTGAATGAACAGAAGCCAAATTGGTACCAAACAGGCTGTCAGGAATCAACGTAATGACTGTGGATAAGGTGACAGTGGCAGAGGCTACTGTTCTCATTTAGCTGAGCCCAGACCCACTCACATGTCCAGTCTCCTTTGTCAGAACACAACATAAAATGAACCCAACAAAACCACACGGTGGCCTCCATGTGGCTGGGAAGCACTAACCCCAGATGGTCTCCATCAAGTCAGCACTGTATGTGTAGAGAATGAGGCAGACCTGCCAGGCAAAACTTGAAGCGTTTTCTGCAGGCTAAGGGTACATAAACCCAGCAGTAAGTGTAGGGAAACACTGATACCTGCAACCCATCCTTACCTGCCAGCTTGTGACCATGGGTGTGCTCTACTGCCTCTGGGGTCACATTCTTGGGCGGTGTCTCCAAAGCAGGAGTCTGAGGTGTCCCTTTATCTTGTCCACTTGAAACATTAGGAAAAAGTCTCTTCAGCACTTTTTCAGTAAACACTACAAAGACAACAGATTAAAAATAGGAATGATTTAATACATTTACTTAAACTACATATAGCTTTCATTCAAAACAAAGACCTCCTTACTACCCTAAAGCCAAGTGGTTGGCTCCAACACCAGTCACTAGCCCTCAGAGAGTTCCTAGGAACATGCTCTCAGGCCACTATGCTGACACTGCTTGGCAGATGACCTCCTAGAGCCTCTCTTCAAATGGACCCCCATGGCCTCTGCTCTTCAAATGACCTCACACAGGCCCCACCACTTAAGAGGATGATCCACTTTGTGTTTGCTGGCCTTCTCAAGGCACAGACTTGCAGATAGCAGAGGATCCTTGGCCTGCCAGGGATGAAGAGCCCTCAGGGCATTACCTGTTACTGCACCTGCAGGAGGCATCTGTACTACATGACCCTGCTTTTCCCTGATGGGGGTCAGTCTTGCATTGCATTTTTCCTATACTGAGCACTAGGAATTGGCACTAGGCTCCAGAAACCAGCTAGGCTGGACAGTCCACGCGTAGGTTGTATGTTTCCTATTGACTGAGGTGTGACAGGTTAGCTATGAGAACAGCAGGGCATGGAAGGGAAATAGTCTGTCTAGGTGATAGCTGGAAGCTAAGTTCTCTCTCCTCCTGCTCAAGACCCTGCCCCTCAGAAAGCCACCAAGGGTCAGCTCTTCCCCCAGAGATGCTCAAGACCATGCCTGCAGGGTATTTAAATAGTCTCCTAAGGAAAGGTCATGTGGTTTCCCCTTTCCCAAGACCACCTGGGAATGCTTTGCTCAGATTAAAACCTGGACTTTAATTCGGTGTGATTTGGCCTCATCTGATTTATTGCATCAGCGTAGCTACCCATTACCGGGGAATATTTTTACTCATCAGACTCTCTGACATCTCTCCTTTGAACTGTCAGACAACTGTCATTGGAGAAACATTTTTCCACAGATCCTACAGCTTTAGCACGAATGTGGAAATTCTTCCCTTTATTTTATAGTTTGCACTCTCATGATGCCTAAGTATCCTAGAACCTTCAGATAGGCAGTGGAAGATGTAGAATCAAAACAACTGAAGACAGTGATTTGCAATATCAAAAATAAGAGAAAAGTTATTGAGAGTGGTTTGTAGATGATGTAGATGAGATTTCTTTGGTCATTTACAGAAACACTCTAGTTATAAAAGGATCATACCCTCATATAATTTGTGCTGGGTAACCCCTTTAATGTGTGTTTCAGTGGTAGTAAATACAACTTTTTTTTTTTTTTTGGACTTGATATTCTTTCTTTCTTTTACAAGTTTCTGTTTTAGGCCTAACATTGAGATCTTTGAACAATCTGGAATTGATTTGTGTACAGGGTGAGAGGGAAGGACCACAGTTTGTTCTTCCACATCTAAACAGCCAGGCTTCCCCACACCGTTAAAGATGCTGTCTTTCCTCCCAATGTGTATTTTTGGCATCTTTGTCAAAAATCAGGTGGCTGCACTTAGACTTGGGTCCTTAGTTCTGTCCCCTTGATCAATGTGTCTGTGTCTGTGCAGGCACCACGCCGTTCTGCTACTAAGACTCTGTGGTATTAAACTCAGGGATGGATGTCTCCAGCAGTGTTTTTAGTGTTCGAGATGGTTTTGGCTACCTGAGGTCTCTTGTGTCTCCATGTGAATTTCAGACTTTTTTTTTCAATTTCTGTTTAGAATTGAGTTAGAATTTTGATAGATTGTATTGAGTTTGCAGACTGCTTTTGATGGGAAGCCATTTTCACAATATTAATCCTACCAATCAATGCATGTGCATGGAGGTCTCTCCATCCACTGGTACCTTCTTCAACTAGTCTTCAGTGTTCTAAAGTTTTCATTGGATAAATCTTCTACTTTCTTGGTTGGTTTTATGCCACATGCTCTCCCTTCTTCCCTCCTCCCTCTCTTCTACCCACCCCCCGTGTGTGTGTGTGTGTGTGTGTATGTGTGTGTGTGTGTGTGTGTGTGTGTGTGTTTTGTTTTGTTTGTTTTTAGTGAATAGAACTGATATGGGATAATGCTCTTGTACACTGTAAAGATTTGTAACTTGTATAATTTTATTTGCTGTCACTTTATCATGTGAGACCATGGGGCTGTGAAGTCCTGACATTAAGAGATTTCCTACATACTATTTTTATGTAGCATATCATTTTTTTTTTTTTTTTGGATTTTTCGAGACAGGGTTTCACTGAATGTGTGGAGAAAGGCCTGGAAATCTCTTTGAAGACCAGGCTGGCCTCAAACTCACAGAGATCCACCTGCCTCTGCCTCAAGAGTGCTAAAATTAAAGGCATGCACCACCAACGCCCGGAAGCATATAAAGTTGTAAGTAGCATGTTGGACCCTGACAAAGTGTGGGTCTCATATAATCTGTTGATGATGAGCAGAACCAAGACCCTTGTGCAGAAGGGCCATGTGTGGGACAACCCATATGGAATACACCTTAGTGTCCACCCAAGCTGCAAATGATGTCTTGGGCTATTCGGAAGAGGCAGGTAGCCTGTGAAACATTTTTAGCAATATACTATAAAATATTTAAAAAGAAAGCTTAAACATTCACATAAAAACCAAATTGCCATGGGTATTTTTTTTTTTCAAATGGTAAAGGAGCAAATATCTTATTCCAAATGAATATGGTGGGTATTCCTAGGAGAAACAAAGACAGATAAACATTTACAAATGGTCAATGAACAAGTATTTTCATGAACTATAACAAATTCTAAGACAAAGTTGTAACTAAAGACTCTATTTTATGAAGGAGGACAGGGAAGCTCCAAGTTTAAAAGACTTGAGGAGAAAAAGCAATCCTGCCATGGAGCTGAGATCACCTCCAAGCTACAGCATCTGGTATGTGTGCATGTGTGTCTGCTCAGGCATAGAAAGAGTAAAATACTATGAAGAAACGCCACATAAGAGTCAGGGCCAAGCAATGCAATGGAAGCCAGTGGCTAAGTGGCTACCCAAAGCAAAAGGATGCCAAAAAGAAAGAAAAAACAATCCCAAAGGTGAGCAACCGCATAGAAGAAATCAGGCCACCTCTGGGACTTCACCCCAGAGTCTGATTAAACAAGAAAGCTGATGTTTAAATACTCGAGCATGCATACATGTACACACACACACACACACACACACACACACACACAAAAAAAAAAAAAAAAAAAAAAAAAAAAAAAAAAAAAAAAAAAAAAAAAACCAGGTACAGACTGAAATTTGAAACCTCTGGATCAATTTGTCTGCCAAGGTTTTCCAATAGAGATTTCTGGGTCATCACAAGCAACATGGTAAGAATGTGCTGAACAGCAAAGATTAGGAAGCATTTTTCACAGAATTTAATTAATGGCAGTTTTGTAACAAAACTATTAAATGCTCCATGTAAAAATAATTAATACAGATGTACCAACCCCATGGGAACTTTTAAAAGTAAGGTAAAAGGAAGGAACAAGGCTATGGCTGGCAGTGGGCATTTCTTTGAAAAGTAGGCCATAGTGCAAACCATGGCTGCAGCCTCCTCAATACAGAAGACAGAGGAGATGTCTAAGCATGTCCTGCAGGACCCATAAGTCAAGAGTGAATTTGTTATCACAGGGAGCCAAGACCAGAGAATTCTAAGGCCTCCTGGCCTCTCCACCTACTTTATTTCTCACTTTCACCTGCAGGACTTTTGCAGGTGACCACACCTTTTCTAGGGGTTTAGGAAGATGGTTCTTATCTCAGGAATAACTTCTAGGTAGGTAGGGGGTGGTCTGCATCATGGATGAGACCCTGAAAGAGCTCCTGAGTGCCAGGGGTCTTCTCAACACTCTATCACTCTTGGTTGGTGGGTCTGTCTGTCTGCCTTCCCTCCCTCCACCCCTGTAAGTGGTAGGATGCTCTTGGACCTGCCTGTGCTCCTTCCTCCTTTCTGTATGTTCTTGCCTGCTCAATTCGTCCCATGCTCTGACCATCTCCTCAAAGGGTGAAGCTGTCTCACACTTAGTTAGACCCGTTTCTCACAGCCTGTTGAATACCACACTTCTCAACCCCCTTACTCGCTGGTATTTTAACAACCAAGCCTTCACTCACTTTCTCTTCTTCAAACCTTGTACCTTTCTAGGCTAAGGCACTGCTGGATCCCAGAGGTCTAGAGACCTCGGCCTGCAACTGTCCTTCATGTTCCTTTAACAGGAACCCTGGCCAATGCAACCACCATGATGTCTGTTCAGGTCTTCACTAACCAGTCATTCCATCTGACCATACTGAAATCTTCAAGAGCTATGATTTGCTTTCCACTTTCCAGGACAAAACCATGAACAACAGAGAACCCCTGTGTACCCTTCAGTGTCCCCTGGGACCAACTTGTTACCAGACATGAAGCAACTGTCAACACTGGCCCGTGCTGGTACAGGTTCTGCAGCATCTTACTAACGGTGCAATCAGTTCCATATCTAACACCTCTCCTAGCCCCCATTTCTTCCCATGTCCTATAAACCAGCGTGCACTTCTCCTGTTTACCTTGCTGTTTGTGTTCTTGATGCATTTTGAAGATCAGTGTGAGATATTCTGTAGACTATTCCTAATTTTGGTCTGTCTGATATCAGACTCAGGTTCTTTTAATTGGACAGCACTGTTGTTTATGGGGAGATGTTTTCAACACATCAACTAGGTTGACAGTGTTAGCCTGGGGTCTCCTTTCTGCTGACATTAGCCTCGACCACAACTGGGTAAGTCTGTTGGCTGGGATTTCTTCCTACAAAGTTACTGTGTTTCCCTTCCCAGTGTATCTCAGGAAAGAGATTTTTGGGGTTCATGCCTCTTCTCCACTATGTCTGTTAAATCAACTGTGGGTCCTGCTTATGGCACAAATGGCCGAGGGACTCAATGTGGGCTTTGATTCTTTCATTTCTTCTATATTTATTATATGGGAGCCCTCTTTAAGGAAGCTATTTACATTTTCACAGTTTATGGATTACTTTTTATTACTCATTCATTTATGCATTAATAGTTACTCATTTATTCTGAGGGTTATAGCTTTGTACTATATTCACGTGTTTTCTGGTTCGGATTGTTCTATCATAGCAGTTTGCTCCTTCAGGGTGGGCCAGTGCCCTTTGGTCTGCTGTTCTTCAGTGAACACACAGCCACCAGCATGTTCCACAGGCTATAGCCTAGATAAGTCAGCATTTTCTCTGCCACCAGGATTGGGGGATATAATTGCTCATTGCTCATTTCGTAATACAAATCTATACCTGTTTGTTCTCTGCTTAACAACAGCTGACTGCTTTGCAGAAATAAGCAGTTGCAGGCCATAGAAAGCCATGTCTAGTCTCAAAAGCTAACTAGAAGGACAGTGAGATGGCTCAGAGGGTAAAGGTGCTTGCTGCCAAGCCTGACCACCTTAGTTAGATCCCAGGAATATAGTAGGAGGGGAGAATGGGCTCCCACAATTGTTGCTGGTATTGTTGTTGTCGTTGTGTGGGTGCATGTAAGGGTGTGCACACATAATAAACAAATGCAAAAGAAAAGGAGTCTTTGAATAGTAAACTGAGGCAGCACAGACATAACTAACAGCAAAAATGCTGATGCATCTAAAAAGGCTCATCCATGCCATACCCATCTTTATCATTAGACATGTAAGATGGCAGAACTAATATTAACAGTAATGGCTTGGGTTATCAAGAAGACCAAAGAAGGACTCATGAATGCAGGAAAATGGGTTTGCATTTTTAAAATAAATATACACAATTTAAGTATGAAAGTCCTTAAAGTTTACATCTCAACTTTTTATATAGAAGATAGGAATGGTAAAAAATGTCATATAACTCCAAGTGTGCATGAGTCAAGACATCTTCTAAATATACATAACCAAGGATTGAGGAGCAATCTTCCTTTATGAATTCAAAGTGAACAGAGTTCAAACAAAACAAGATAAAAACAAAAGAGGAAACCTTTCATTATCCCAACTATTCTAGTAAGAGCTTTGGAAACCCATGTGGCTACTGTAACTTCCATGCCACACTGGGATTTTTATCACTCACAAACTTGTCTTTGGCTTCTAGTCACTTCTCTGTAAGAGGGACATGTTCTGTAAGTGGCATGCATTCTGGAAATCCATCTCCACCACCACCCTGCTGTGAACATTATGGGAGAATGAACATTTAATACAGGAGTTAAGGCACGGTACTGATATTAAATACTGGCAGATGGTGGCTTTGAGTCCTAATGTCAGTAATGGTCAACTCTTATGTTCAACATGAATCAATTCAGCATCACCTAGGACACACGTGTCTGGGTGTGTCTCTGAGGGCGTGTCCATGGAGGATTAAGTGAGGAAGGAAGACCTACCCTTGATGTCCCCATACCATCCATCTGTGGGATGGGTTACAGACTAAATAAAAAGGAAAAAAAAAATGAGACAACAAACAGAAAATCAGTGTTCACTTCTCCCTGATCCCTGAAGAATTCAATTTGACCAGTTGCCTTTATCCTGCAGCTGTAACTCCCACACGGTGATGAACTGTACTCTCAAGCTAGGAACCAAAATAAACCCTTCCTTTTAAAGGTCACAGAAATGAAGAAAGTTACTAATGCAAAAAAATTGGTATCAGAAGTGGGGCTTCTGCTGTGACAAACCTGATCATGTAGTTCATAGGCCTTTGGAGCAGGTTTGTGGGAAGGGTGTGGGGGTTTGGATCTCTGGGCTGGAGAAGTCTGATGGTGCCATAAGTAGAGCTTAAATGGTCATTCCAGTAGTTCAAAAACCAAAATGCTAAGAAAAATACAGATACTGGAGGTCCAGGCCATGAGGTTCAAGAGGGGAACAAAGGCTCTATTGTAACAAGGCTACAACTCATTGTGTTACATTCGGATGAAGAATCTGGCTGCTTTCTGCCCACGGCCTGTTAATTTGAGCGAGGCTACATTCAAAGTTAATGGGCTAAATTGGTTAATAGGTGAAATTTCAAAACAGCATAACATCCATGTTTTAGCATGGTTACTGCTCACTACTTGAGTGAGCGTGCGTGTGCGCGCGTGTGCACACACACACACACACACACACACACACACACACACACACAGACAGTTTGGTGAGGAAGAGAGAGAGCATGGGCAAGTTTAAAGTTGCAAATAGGGCAGGTGAGAAGATAGCAGCCATTAAACAGAAACCCAGATGCTATGTACCGAGAAAACAAGATAATGGATCCTGAGGATAGACTTCACTCATTAAGGGATCCAACTTCTAAAAATGAATATTTATTTCAAAGAGCCTGAAATGAAAATGTGGTTGAAGGGATTAACTGCAAAAACAAAAACAAACAAAAAAACTGCCTGGGGCAGTCCTGGGGTCATTCACAGAGGCATACAGAGGCCTGATTACAGCTATGATAGGAGGCCAGATTACAACTCAAAATGACAGAACTTGACAGGATTTTCCACATGGTGCCAGTTTTGCAAGCATGCAAAATGCAAGACTTATGGGCTTATGGAGGCTTGTACCAGAAAGCAGTGTGGTAGGGTTGAATTTCCTATGAGGAAAGCCTCAGAGGTCACTAAATACATCTAGGAAACTAAAGTCCTAGATGTAATGGCAACTCCAGGATGTCAGAAATGCCAGTATCATAGATGTCTAACATGGAAAGGTCCAGATACATTCTAGAACTAACCCCAAAGAGAGGTGGCAGAACTGGAGGGGCAGAGATGCAGACTGTTAGAGCCCAGATGATGCCCCTGCAAGTCTCAGATGCTGGATATGGAGCTATAGCATTTGGCATTTGTCTTCTTGGGTTTGTGTCTTGCTTGGGTCCTGTCTTCCCTTGATATTTTCCCATTCTTCCTGTTTAGAATAGAGATGTTGAATTTATGCCACAGTATTGGAAATATGCAACACTATCCCCTTGAGATTGCCTTGAGTCAGAAGAGAGTTTGTAATTCTGAACAATGTTGAGACTTAAAGATATAGGGAGTTGGAGACTGGAAAAATGGCTCAGAGGTTAAGAGCACTGGCTGCTCTTGCAGAGAACCCAGGTTTGATTTTCACCACCCATATGGTACCACACAACCATCTGTAACTCCAGTTTCAGGAGAGCCAATGCCTTCTTCTTGCCTCTGCAGGCATCGGACACACATATGGTACACATACATATAAGCAGGCAAAACATTCATACACAGAAAATAAAAAAATCAATTAAAGAATATGGGGACTTTTGAAGTTGGAATGAATATATGTTACAAAATGGCCATAAGCCCATGGGTCCAGGAGGGCAATGGTCTCATTTAAAGCTTATGTGTGGGGCTGCAGAGATGGTTCAGTAGTTCAGAGCACTGGCTGCTCTTGCAGAGGACCCAAGCTCAATTCCCAGCACCCACATAGCAGCTCAAAGCTGTCTGTAATTCCTGTTCCACGGGATCTGATGCCCTCACACAGGCATACCTACAGGCAAAACACCAATGTACATAAGATAAAAATAAATAAATTATTTTTAAAAGGGGGAGGACTGGGGAGATGGTTCAATAGTTAAGAGCACTGGCTGCTCTTGCAGAGGGCCTGGGTTCAATTCCTAGCATCCACATGGCAGCTCACAGCTGTCTGTAATTCCAGTTCCAGGTGACCTGACACCCATGGCAAAACACCAATGCACGTAAAATGAAAATAAGTAAATGAAAGCTGATGTGTTTGGGCATTAAATTGACAAGGAGTGAACATGTGATTATCCTTCATTGTCAACTTAGGATTCAGAAGTATCCAGGTGACTCACGTGTGGTTTGTCTGTGAGAGGATTTTCTGAAAGGGAGGAAGGGCAGACCCTGGATGTGGACAGTACTTGTCATCCCATGGGCTGGGATCCCAGCCTGAATGAAAAGAAACAAGAGAATGTGAACTAGGCAACAGCAGTCATTTATTTCTCCACGTTTCCCAAACCTACCTGCATCCTCACCAACAACCCCATGCTCTTGCTGCTGCACCTGGACCTTTCCTCACTGCTGTGCCCTCCTTGTCACAGACACCAACTGTGACCCAAGACACCCTCCCTCCTGTCAGTTGTCTGTGCTACTTATTTTGTCACAGTGAAGAGAGAAGCAGCTAACACACCATCTTTCATGTATTATTTATGAAGTAAATCTGTGAATAAGTACAAATGCAGATGGCCTCAAAGGGATGTCTAAATGGTTTCACTACTAAATGGGATCCCGGGTTTTGTCTTTAACATTAAGTTTAACTAATAAATATTAATCCAATTTAATCCCAATATCTTGACATCCAAAATAACTTTTCCAGCAAATGTCTAAATATTTTCAACTGCTGCAATATAAAGCATAAAGTATCTTTTGAAAATAGTGTGATCTTAATTTGCAAATCACTTACAAAAGAGCAAAGCTTATAGAGCAAAATTAAAATATCATTAATTACTTTCTACCAACTAATATTGCTGGAAGGTTTATTCATAGGCTTTACTTTAATCCCTGCACTTGAGATCACAGGGTGGATGCTGAAACTGAAAGCAAGATTTTGTGGATACTGGACCTGCTACCTAAAAACCTGTCCTCTAAAATGAAACACTGTACGCTCTGCCCTTGTTTGTTTCCTCTCTCCCTACAATGCTTAAGAAACAGTAAACAGAATCCCTAAAGATTTATAAGGAGAGAGACACAGTTGCAATGCATCAGGCTGGCACACACAGTCTACAAATGTGAGACGAAAAGAATTGCTTTCCTGTCACTAACAGTGTTTGGGCCCCTGACTTAAACAGAATCATCAGCTATTTTAGATCATAATTTTGTGTTGACACTTTAGTGCTTACTACTAACATTGAACCTCCAGGTTAAAACAAGACAAAACTTGTAAACTGCTTGACCATTTCCTATAAATAAGAACTTCAACAATGTATGTTTTCTAATTGGCCAACTTACTTTTTTGATTAATATTAAAACAGACATGAATGGATGCTTTTTTTTTTTTTGAAGGCTAGTCCACAGTGCATATAATAAAGTACTAGACAGGGTATGTAGCTCAGGAGACAGAGTGGTAGCCAACCTAGCATACTCAAAGCTCTGAATTTAATTCCTAGCACTACATAAAACCAGGCACAATGGTGAGTACCTATAACCCTGGCACTTAGGAAACAGAGGCAACATTATCAGAAATTCAAGGTCATCCTTGACTACAAAGCGACTTCAAGGCCAGTCTGATATATGAGTCTCTGTCTCAAAAAAAAAAAAGTATTTATTATTAAACTTGTTGAAATGCTTCTTTTTGACTGGGAATGTTTGTGGGGTATATGTGTGTGTGTGTGTGTATGTATGTATGTATGTATGTATGTATGTATGTATTTGTGTGTGTTAAGAACCTCTCTTTCTCTTAAATTCTAATGTGCTTTTAAAAAGTTAAAGTTCCCCCACAAAGGCTAAGCTAGATGATCTACCGAGTCCCTGGGAGGCAGGCTCCTGTCCAAGGACCCAGAAGGCTCAAAAACTTTGAGTTTTCATGTGAGTGAAACAACAATTGCTTCCTGGCGGTAACAGATGCTTTCAAGCTTTTGCTAGGAACAGGAGGCCAGCCTGCCTTCTTTCTTGCTCACACCTCATCAACTTGCTCCTTTTCTAGCAGTGGGAGCAAGTTTTAACTTGAAACTCTAGTGTCTGTCAAAAAGCAATCACAGGAAAATGAAGGGCAGGGGATTGGGTGTTTAATACCAGCTGAAAAAAAAAAACCCCAAAAAACCCCAAACCCCACAATTACCAAGCTGACCGAGCAATCAGAATCGGGAAATGATAGATACAGAAAAAGGCCAATGTGAAAGAAAACATCCCAGTCAAAATTAATATGTTCCAACACCAAGCACAGAAATTAAGTCTACTTCCCACAGGGGAATTGAGTTATTTTGATATAATTTTCAGAAAGAACTAAAGGCTCTCTGTGTTTCTATTTCAACTTAAAGGCAGAAACCAAATGAAAATAAACCTTCCCAGTTGAGTGTTTTTTGGAAATTAGAAACTTAGGAAAACTGTTAAGTACATGTATTTCAGATAGAGGAATAGGAAACTTGATTGCCAGTGACAAACCTATGGTACCCTAAGCTCTCCCTCAATGTAGTTACTTGATTTAAAGCACTAACAGCTGGCCGTAAAACCAAACATCTCCCCCATTGTTAACAAAGGTGTTAATGGCAGCATCCAAGGAATTATTATTTCTGGTTACCTGTGCAGACATCAAATGTCTAACCTGTGGGTTGTGACCCCTTTGGGGGGGGTGAATGACCCTTTTACAGGGATTGCATATCAGATATCCTGCACATCAGACATTTACATTACGATTCACAACTGTAGCAAAATTACAGTTACAAAGCAGCAAAGAAAAGAATTTTATGTTTTGGGGTCACCAAGACATGAGGAACTATATTAAAGGGTCACAGATTAAGAAGCTTGAGAACCCCCTGATCTAACAAGTTCACCCAGGAAAGAAGAGTCAATACCAAAGTGTCACATCACTCTGTGATGCTTCACAGCCCAGTCTACATTTTTATTAGTATTAAAAACAGAATATGATTGCAGAACTTCCCTTTCTATTTTATTTATCCTTTTACCTTACACACAATGGCTATATGTCTATGGGGAACACTGCAACACCTCAACACCTCACATATAAATAGATAATAGTCAAGTCATAGTAAATATCTTTGTGTTACTCCTTTGTGCTTGGGGCCTTTGAGTGAACCTCTTTTTCTTCATGAAAGATACGATATGTTATTGTAAATTTACAATGCAAAGGAAACCATAGCTTTCCTGCTGTGTCAGAAAATAGATTTTATTCTTCCTGAGGCTGGAGGGACAGCTCCGTGGTTGAGTATCTACAGCTCTTGCAAAGTACCCAAGTTCAGAGCTGCCGACAACTCCAGCTCAGGGACATGGCTTCCACACACACTGCACTCACATGATCAAACCTACACTCAGACACACACTTACAAACAAACTTGAAAACAAAAGTAACATTCTAAAAGTGATCTCTTTTTCCTCCCAGTTGCATTTTGATGTGTAACCTGGCCACTTTCCAGTGTCTTCCCCTCTTCCACCCCTGGCCTCAAATGACCACTATTTGACTCTCCTGTGCAATTAACTGAAGGATTTAAATTTCCCACTTTTATGACTGAATTTAGGTTTCAGTTCTCTGAGAGGGGCAAACAGGTGTCACTCCCAGCAAAGGGCCATTTGTCAACCAATTATATTCAGGGACCAGTGAGTGAGAGAGCCCAAACAAGGCCTGAGCTAGCCCGAATGTCTCAAGGACAGTTCCTGCAACCCCTTGAAAACTTACCCAAGTATGTCCAAAGATAAAACCTCAGCCAATTAAAAGTATACTAATATAACTACTGCTTGCTTGACCAGTTATGTTTGATTAACTGGTCAAGTTATGTTGACCTAACCGTCCCTGAAATTCCCTTAGCTGTGCTTAGAAGGAACCTGCACACTACCCTCGGGGTTGTTGTCATTCTGTACAGGTGCTGACTCCTGCATGTTGGAATAGTAATAAATGCTCTTTGTTCTTGCATACTATTTGAGTCTGGGGTCTTCCTTCAGCATTTTCTCAGTCCCTTACATTAACTTTTTCAGATGCCACAAGTGAGTGAAAACACATGCATATGTTTCTGTGCTTGGCTTATTACTTGGCACAATGTCCTCCTCTTCCAAACATGATGCTTCTAGTGGCAGGATCTCACTGATCATAAGAATCATACATACTTCTAATTTGAAAAGCTCTTATGCAAAAACAAAACAAATATATAAATATAAATTTTCCTTTTATAATATTCTTTTCTGCAAAAAGAAAAATGAAAGCCATATGACAGAAAAAATGAATTCTGCAATCTCCAAGACCACCAAATCTTACCCTATTATTCAATGAATATTTTAATATTTTTTTAAAAAATATTTTGATCAGAGAAATATTTGTTTGCCCCTTGTTATCTGTGTGTATAGTATGCCTTATTTAAAATGAAAATAAATGCATAAATTTCAATTTACTGATCATAAACCATACAACTAGAAAGTAGAAGTGATGGAAGACTGTCTTAGGGTTTCTATTGCTATAAAAACACTCTGTGACCATGGTAACTCTTACAATGGAAAATATTTAATTGAGGTGGTGGCTTACAGTTCAGAGGCTCAGTCCATTATCATCATGTCAGGGAGCATGGTGGCCTGCAGGCAGACATGTGCTGGCTACATCTTGATCAGAAGGCAACGGTGTCAACTGAGGCACTGGACATATATGCTTGGGCATATATGAGACCTCAGAGCTCACCCTCACAGTGACACACTTCCTCCAATATAGCCATACTCACTCCAACAAAGCCCCACCTCCTAATAGTGCCACTCCCTAAGAGCTTACAGGGGTCCAATTACATCCAAACTACTAAAGAGACATTGGAAATGATGTTGATTTGCAACTGGTTAATAAAAAGTTTCAAAAAAATTTCATGCTACCTATAAACTTATGCCTCTTGGGAAAGTGAAATTTCCAGAAGAAAAAACGTATATGCTCTTGTGGTGTAACAGTTTCCTTCAAGATGGAAACATTCCATCCTGCGGGAAGGTCAACAACTCAAGTAGCTTCAGGAAGTCCCTGAAACTGACCAGATTTGTTACAGCCAGATTTATTAGCTCCTTGCTGCCAGAGTGCCAAGAAGAATCTGACAAGCTGAACTGCAATGAAGATTGGCAGAGCAGCTGAGTTGCCTAGACAGGACTATTGTGGGAAATTACCAATACGGAGTCAGGTAGAAATATAAGGGTATTTAATAGGGAAAAGCCTTACTTACAGAGCGACCTAGCCAGCCGGCATGGCAGCAGTCTGT